TGATGAAACAAAGAACAGTACACAAAATCCGTGATTTGATCCCATCTGTAAAGGATGTGATTCCTGACATGCAATTTCCTGGTGTCTACAAACTAAGTTGTGGCTGCGGCAGCAGTTACATTGAGGAAATGAAACGACACGTCTCGGACCATGTTCGCGAACACGAGGCAGATCTGAAGCACAGTAGGACCAATACCTCTGTTTTAACACTGTGGGAACATACGAAATAGATATTTCCAAGGCAAAGGTACTCTGCAAACCCACTGGCTATCATCAGAGATTTGTTCATGAAGCCATCCAGATAAGAAACACAGACACAACTTCAACTGAGAATATGGGTACAAATTGAGCAATCATTGGAAGGACGTGTTTAACCAGGTGATGTTTCCATCCTTCCTGCGATTTTAGCTGACTCTCTGAGTTGCATTATTAGGTTGGATGTCTTTGTATTGACGGGCTGGATGTCCTTCTCTCTCAGTCACCGATGCTACGACATACTAGGCAAGTCACCGATGCTGCGGTATACTAAGCTCGTGCATTGATATGCTAATCTTTCACAATACAATAGCCACTTCCATAGCCTCAGGCAGACCATCTCTAGCCCTGCCCTCTTACCCTGAGGCTGCACCCATCTCAAGACTACGTAAGATCTTGTTTCAGTTGCTTTCTCTCTCTTACCTAAAGACGGTCGCTTGTGTTGCGATCGGAACATCGTGATATATTAACAATTTTCTATCTACGTGACTTTACCGAAAGAACCAAAGAGTATGGATTCCTGCAGTCATGAAAGCTTCAAATCAAGATTGAAACAAAGTAAGTTGCACTTACGTGCACCGTGCTTCATTTGTGTTTTCGATTAATTAATATCTACCAAAAATCTGGCCATGTATCGCGTATCCCCATGTTAAGAAGCTGCACTGCCTCTACAAAATCGGTGATACTACCGAATTTAAATCTTACTACTACTACTACTGCAGCACTCTCGTTATTCACGATGAGGGATATGTTCCCGAGATACTCGTGAATAGCAAATTTCGTGAATATTGATGTTGGCCTACGAATTCTTATCTTTTATAAAAATACATAACTAAGCTATGAAATATATTAAAATTATGACAAAAAATAAAAATTGGTTATAATAAACATAAATGATATAAATTATAAAGTATTAAATATTACTTGATAAATGAACTTGCCTAAAATTGTGCTAGGCAACACTTTATCTCTCATCACTTTATCTCTCATCAATTATTTTTCATCACTTTATCTCTCATCACTTTCTCTCTTTCTCGATGCAGTCGCGTGGAGTTCCAGATGCAATTCACAAATAGCCAATATTGCGGGTAGCAAGTTCGTGAATAACGAGGGTATACTGTGGACACACAATTATTATGTACCAATGGAATACACAAACAAGACACCATTTGGTGTGTTAATAGGACAATTTAAGACGATGTTCCTGTGCTTGTTGCAAATGAAGGGAATATCACGGTATGCACGCACATATTCTAGGAACGATGCCTTACTTTAATTTACTCCGGCCCATCCTGAACTCAGCGTCTGATGGTGCTAAAAGGGGCAAATACGGCCACGTGACACCGAGCTTTGGTGAGATGGCCGGCACTGGCTGCCAAATAAACAAAGGGTTGATTTAAAGCTGTGCACATACGTACAGAAGAACCCCTATTAACGACCACTACCTGTTATAGACTAATCGCTTAAAGACGGGCCTCCATAGAACCCAATGTGTAGTGTATAGTGTGGTGTATAGTAGTGTAGTGTAAAGTAGTCTAGTATATAATGTAGTGTCTAGTAGTGTGGTTTATAGTAGTGTAGTGTATAGTAGTGTAGTGTATAATGTAGTGTATAGAAGTGTACAGAAGAAACCTTCTTAACAACCACCCCCTGTTAATGACTAATCGCTTAACGATGGGCCTCCATAGAGCCCAATTTGTAGTGTATAGTGTAGTGTATAGTCGTGTAGTGTATAGTAGTACAGAGTAGAACCCCTCTTAGTGAGCACCCCTGTTGACGACTAATCGCTTAACGACAGGCCTCCATAGAGCCTAATATGTAGTGTATCGTGAAAAGTGTAGAGTAGTGTAGTGTATAGAAGTGTATAGTGTATTGAAGTGTATAGAAGTGTATAGTGTGTAGTAGTGTATTGTGTACAGTAGTGTAGTATACAGTAGTATAGTATATAGTAGTGTAGTGTACAGTAGTGTAGTATATAATGTAGTGTACGTTAGTGTAGTTTTTAGCAGTGTAGTATATAATGTATTGTACAATAGTGCCGGCCCGAGAGAGGCACGGCGTGCAGTGTAACGACATCACAGATACCACTATGGTGTGGGTGTAGTACCGGCCGTAGAGGGGCTCGGTGAGCGCTGATTGACAGCGCTGGATGGCACCACGCTTGACGTGCAGTGCCAGCCCTACAGGACAGGGTGTGGGAGTGCCGGCTGTACGAATGAGGTTACTAAAGGCCATGGCACTTTTGTTGACCCGAGAGGACGCGTGACCAATTAAGTCTACATAGGGGCCTCAAGTGGGGGCTAGGGCTGGTCACGTGGTCAGGGTCCAAATTCTGCTCGAGGATTCTGGAAGGTGGTCGTGGCCAAGGGTGGAGCCAGCCACGACGCAGAGAATATAAGCCGGGTCCCCCAGAGGGACCGGCGTTGTTGTTCATCCTGAAGAAACCTTCGTCTACGTTCTCCGATCAACGAGTCTCCAACACTTAGACCTGGACCCGAGCTGTGGTCCCGGTCCATAGTAGCAGTTACGTTGTAATTAGTGTAGTTGGCCTGGTGGTCACCACCATAGGTTGTTATTCTGTTACGGGGATGTTAGCCCATGTGTTGGAGTTAAATAAATGTGTTGCCTCCAAGTATACGTCTGCGACTCAGTTGAACTCACTACAGTAGTGTAGTTATAATGTAGTGTATAGTAGTGTAGTTCCTCCATACAGCCAAATATGTTCACTTACTAACCACTCCCCTGTTAACTACGGGCTTTTATAGGTAGAGTAAATATTTATTAATGGATTGATTAATCGAGTTTCTTGTAATATCACGCGTTTATAATATTGGTCGTATCTCTGTGTATTAATATCCATCGTGTAAATATGATATAGTACGTTTTTGTGGGGGTTAAAATGGGATTTAAATTTCGATGCTGTCGGAACGAATTAAGCCCTTTAATGTGTATCTCCTATACTCGCCTAATGATCAAATCACTTAACAATTGGTTTCGTTAAACCAATTACCGTCTTTACCCACCTACTCACCCAGGCACCTACTCGCCCACCCACTCACCTATTCACCCATCCACTCACCCAGCTGCTCACCCAATGACTCACCCACCCAACCACTCACTCACCCACCCACTCACATACACACCCACTCACCTACTCATCCACTCACCCACCTACTCACCCACTCAGTGGTCTATCGGCTTGGTACTCACCTACCCACTCACCTACTCACCCAACCACCCATTCATCCACCCTCCCATGCACTCACACACCTACGAACTCGCGCACCTACCAACTCGCCCATCCACTCGCCTATTCACCCACTCACCCATCCACCCACCCAACCACTCACCCACCACCCACCCACTCACCCACTGACCCACCCACAAACCAACCCACTCACCCACCCACTCACTCACCGACTTACCCACCCAACAACGCAGTGGTCCCTAGGCCTGGTACTCACCGACCCACCCACCTACCCACCCACTCACCCACCCACCCACTCACCTACCCACTCACCCACCAACTCAGCGGTCCATCGGCTTGGTACTCATCGACCCACTCACCTACTCACCCACCCATTCATCCATTACCCACTCACTCACCCACCCAGGCAGTGGTCCATTGGCCTGAAAATCACTTCTGCTGCATGATGTTCGAGACTTATTTGCAGATATTTAACCGGTTCAGTAGAAAATGCAAGCCAGAACTGTTTAATGGAGCTGATGACGTATGAACATCGCACGTTTTACAAACACGTACTTCTTGATATAATTAATAACTGGAGACTTTCGTTTTGTGTCTAACACATTTGACACAGGTAAACCGCAGAGGTGGACGAGGAGATGGCGGCTCTGCTTTTCTTGGTCACGTCTCTGGCCCTGAGCGTTATGCTCACCCGAGCGAAAGTGGTGAACGATTTTCAGCGCGGCGCGTGCGAGGACTTCTTCTACAAGAAGCTTCAACCGCGAGTGACCAACTGCCGATGGTGCAACAAAATCTGCCAGACATACAATGGCAGGACTCGCTTCGCCACCCTGTACAACCCCAACAGCCGTATCCCTGTCTATTCTGCGTACAAATACGAGCACAGCTCGAGGTCGTTGTGTGAAGGCGAGCCCAATAAACGAAGAGTTTGGTTTGTTGAACCACAGGTAATGATTAGCATTCCAATGACCACACCATTGTTGCATATCAATGTGTTTTGCACACTGTACTATGCATTGCAATTGAGCCTATGGCACATCAAATCAGAATGCGTTCTCAGAAACACATACCTGTCAACCCATGTGGTTTACCCCGTATTCTTGTACAGGGAAATTGACTGCATTTCTATATGGGTAAAAATATGTCTCTTTGTTTGTGTTTCTCTCTTGTGATGGGACTTTGTAGAATGAACGTTGAACTTTATAAGGGCACAGGATTACCAATAAGGTCTGAATGGGTCTGTAACAAGGTAGGCACTGACAAGGGGTTCGCCGGTATGGCTACTGCAACTGTTAAAACTAAACAATTTACGATTTTACCAGTGAAGGCCCCAGTGAGCTATGTACTGTAGCTATTTTTCAGAAGTAACCTGGCTATTACAAACGATAGCTCAACGAAGTGGCTTGTCATGTAGTAATATACAGCAGCAAAATTATCTAAATACTCTAAGTGGATGTTTATAAATGTGGAGGGAAAAAAAGAAACGGAGGACCTGGAGAAAGAAAACATACACGACCACGGGGAGAGAGACACACAAGGTGTCTAGGTCGGAATTGAACCCACGATCTCCTGCATTCCAAGCGAGGTAGTTAACATCGCCACCATAGCACCCTATGGTTTAGATCTTAGGGTTACGGTAGTTTAATCAGGGTAGTTTATCTAATTATATTTTTTTATTAAATAGCATAAGCAAAATATTAATTAGTTTAACATGTAGACTTTCGCGACCAAATATTATCCATAACGTTTTTTTTTTGTGTTAGGTTGCGCAAAATATAAAGGTATCATTAAACACGCCACCACCCTAGAGCCTGTTCCCCATTCTTATGAAATGCAGATTTACGCTTAAGGTATCTTTTTTATCATCAACGTTATTGGATTTAATTTAACGAGCACCACTAAAATGACGAAGATTCACGCTGGGAACGTTTTTTTCCCAATGTAGCCAAAACTAAATCGTTTGTTCTTAAGTCTTAATAACACTTCATTTTTCCAGGTCACCAATCGCAGTTTCAACAACAACATGGCGCCCGAAATAAGCGTCATGGGTGTGGCCTACACGCAGGCGGTGAACGAAGATTATGCGGTGACAAGCTACGACCGAGGCCACCTCAACCCCAGTTCTTATCACTGCGACGAGGAAAGAACGGCCACTTTCACCTTGACGAATGCCGTCCCGCTGGATCGGTCCTTCAACGGATTGAAATGGAGAAAATACCAAAATGAAACCCAATACATCGTGAAGGAAAAGTGCCCATCGCCTTCTGTAGCTTACTTCATCACTGGTGCCATTCCCTCAAAGTTCAAAATTCCCATCGATCCCGACGACGCACTGGAAAATGAAACCAGAGCGTATGACAGAGTCACCATTCCAGATTACGTGTGGTCAGCAGTGTGCTGTGACCACGTACACAGGAACGAAGGATTTAGTTTTGGCTACATTGGGAAAAACATTCCCGCCGTGGAAATTCGGCCAATGACAATTGAGCATCTCGAAAGAGAGTTGGCGAGGTTATACTCGTACGGCAGACTGAGTCTCTTCAATGACGCATGCAATGGGAGAAATAGCATTGCGGCCAATGTCATCGTCGCTTTGATCACGGCGAACATCGTGAGGTACACAGCGTCCTTTGCAGAGTTTCCACAGTCGATTTCGCCATCTGAACAGAAACTCCTGAACAGCAGCCTTGGCAACATCTACTCTGGCGGGACAAGCAGCACCAGGACCAACGTGGACAGCATCAGGATAAGGTTGAAGTTCGACAGCAACAAAGACTGGTTCGACCACGTGCGGGTGCTGCGTAAAGAGAGCGGTCTGGCCTGCGTTCACACTGATTCATTGCCGGAGTCCGGTGAGCTAGCATTACAGACGGCAGCGACTTCCTGTATACTGGAGGAGCAGAGGCACAATCAGAACGCAGTCACTGCCCACGGGATCCCGTGCAGACCCGACTTCGCGTGCGGCACCCACGATCACAAGGCATCGTGGTGTTATACCAGCTACTCGAAGCACTGGGACCACTGCTGCACTTCGGAGTGCACCTATCAAGCGTCACACAATGGGTACGTGTGCATGTCGGCCATCAAGTGGGTCTCGTGCTCGCCGGCATACTCCATGATGACCGTGAGTGGGAGACGGTGCCGATTTGATTTCCCGTGTGGCTCCCACTCCAAGCAGTACTTCTGGTGCTACACGGACATGAACAATAACTGGGAATATTGCTGTGCACCAGATACGTATTGCCACAAGAATGGTAAGTCGTTCGACGGGTGCTACGTCGACGTGATAGGGAAGAAACTTCTAGAGTGTCGCAACTCTCTGGCACCGAGTAATGGGCTGGAATAGTAGCCTCTACAAGCTGCCAAATTACTCACCACAACGTTATTATATTACTCGAGATTCATAAAGCAATTTTCATTCCTCCACACAGCAGAGGCCCATATCTAAATACAATACGTAGTTACGTTATGACATGACCATACCTGTCAACCCCTTATCAGTGCCAATCTTATTGCAGATCAATTCAGACCTTATTGGTCACCCTGTGCCATTATACGTCTCAATGTTCATCCTACAAAATCCCATCACAGGGGAGAAACACAAACAAAGAGACACATTTTTTTTGCCCGTATTGAAATGGCTGTATGCCGTATGGACCTGAAAACTCAATTTCCCTGTAGAAGTATACGTACGTGCCAAAAATATCATAGAAGTATGGGTTGACAGGATGCAAAGGGACGACACTCAGGGTGGTCCCAATCACGTTGGGGCGGCTCCATTGAATACTTTCGATTCAAATTGCATGCCAAATGGGGGGAACTATTCATAGACAAAAATGAGAGGTGCGTCATAGATTTTTTTTTAATAACAACGGGTGAGACAAACAATGAGCAGATCTACCGACAACAGCATTGTAAGTGAGAATACGCCATCGAAAAACGAGAGCTGCGACAGTCTTGTCAGTAAAAGTCCTGTCCCAACTCTCGAAGTGACTTGGTTCACCGTCGCCAAAAATATCCTTGCCTACGGATAGTCTTTTAGGGTTCGAAAAATGGTAGTCTGAAGGGAGCAAGATCCAGGCCGTACTGGCGGATCGTGGGTGCCACAGTGGTGAGATGTTAACTACCTCGCCTGTTATGCAGGAGGTCGTGGGTTTGATCCCGACCTTGGCACCTGCTATATATATTTGGTGTTTGCATTTTCTCCCCGTGGTCGTGTGGATTTTTCCTCCGAGTCCCTCCGTTTTCTTTCCTCTCCACATTTAGAATCAACATCACGCGTTTAGGGTATTTGGATACTGCTATGAATTTCCACATGATAAGCCACTTCGCCAAGCTATGATTTTTGATAAGCAGGTCGCTTCTGAAAAAGGAGCTACATAGCTCAGTGGGGCCTTACCTGGTAAAATAAATAAAAAATATCAGCGAGTGTTACAACGTCGACCGTGACAGCCGTGACACGACACGGGTTTGAAGGAGAGTAAACCCACGGAATTCACTATTTGAGAGTACGACGTCACAGGCCATGTGCTGTAGTGGCTAATCGGCACGTTTTGTTCACTTGACAAACTTGACTAATTGGCCGTGTCGGGTGGTGGTGGGTTAACGACATTTCTATTTACGCGATCCAACCCTATATACTTTTGTTATGGATAACCATCGGGTCTCATCCATTGTCTGTTAAAGCACCACACTGAAACGTCTCCACACTTTATGAGACCTCTTTTGCCAGTAACAACATATAGTAATAGGTTTTTACCCATTTATCTGGCACAAAAACTGACACCTTTATACAAGGGATCATGTTTGCGATAACCACAACACAAGTAGTCAAAATGCAAACAAAGACAACTCTGATAATATGCACTGTCCTTGAATTTGATTGGTCCACACCCGAGACGGCTTTTCTTAGAGCCCAGTCTCCAATGGTGTTGGACGAGAAGACGCCAAAAGGCGTACAACTCAAAAACAGCGCACAATCAGAGTATTGAGAGCTCGGGGTAAGCACTTACATTATACCTCCTTTTGCCAGTAACAAGATATTGTAATAGGTTTTTACCCTTTTATCTGGCACAAAAATTGACACCTTTATACAAGGCATCATGTTTGCGATAACCACAACACAAGTAGTCAAAATGCAAACAAAAAAGACAACTTTGATAATATCAAATTCAAAGAGGGGGTGGCGAGGAGCTGGAGCCAGGAGGGAGAAGAGGGCTACCGTGGTCGAGTCCTCTGCACTGCCGGCGACGTTCCCGCAACGTCCGCGGGGTGCAGCAGTGGAGTCCCGGCTGGGCCCGTAACGAGACAGGAAGCGCAGCGTTGCCACAAATGCAAGGCTTCCCTCTGTGCGCGGCTACACCGACATGGTTGAAGACTCCCGCCGCGGGCAAAGGAGCTCGACCTCTCATCCTGGCGGTCCGAACAAAGCCCCCAACATCCTGGGGCTTGCCGATGCATCGGCTGGCGCAAAGTGGCACGGCTCGACAGGCGAACCGCTGGCAGCCGGGCCACCAAGAGGACGCCCGGTGGGCGCGGGGGGGGGGGGAAAGGCAAGAGACGTGGTCGGGGAGCAGCGCCTCCAACACCACAAATAACAGTGGTGGAGGATGGGAAGAAGGGGAAGAGAGGAGAAAGAGAGAGGGGTAGGTGGAGGTAGGGGATGGAAGAGGGAAAGTAGGGATCGAGCAGATGGCCGCTGCTACCGCCGCCATCTCACCGAATCCTACACGATGTGCAAAACAATCTGCACCACAAGTGCACAAGCGTTGTGCTCGTAGCCAAGGCTGCTTCGGTGTAAAGTCATTTAAGAAACGCAAACAATTAAACTAATTAGCATCTCGAGTGCATATCGCCCGTCTCGTCACGTTGTGTTCATTCAAATGACTGTTAAGGTCTCCCTCTAAGAGTCTAAGTGGTTAAACTTAAGGTTGTTATTCTTGAGTGTGCTGGGTAGATAATTCCTTGCTTGTTTGGCTACATGACAGCGCACCGAGTTCGTGAATACTGTTCATGGGATGCTTGCCACAGGAATGGATCTCGCCCGAGGGGGATGCATTTCTTTAGAACTGCTTTTGTGTCGAGTTTGTTGTCGTTCTGCCGCACTTCTAATTAGCGCGGTTGGTTGCGAACGGTTCGATAAAAGTTCAACATAAATACACAGAGACCCACAGACACCCAAACCCATAGAGACTCACACATACCCACAGACACCCATATAGACACTCATAGAGACCCACAGATTAGCACCGTTGGCGATGTGCAATGCGAAAGAAGTTCAACATACAAGCAAAGTTGATGTCGAATCTACCAGACTAACTTTAATCGCACGCAATCTGCATTCAACCACCACGCCACAGGTTCAAATAACTCACGAATTCAATCACTCACTGGGCTTTGGCGCATGGAATATAAAGAGTTCAGTTTTATTTGTATGTTTTAGTGATCTGCTAACTTTTCCTATAGTTTATACTCCTATCATGTTTTTGGATCGCATTTATTTTGTGTAACATTCTGACCCCGTGACCCCATTTGACAACATCTGTGAAAAAGCTTAGATTCCTCCAGTTTAAATACATTTTCTGTTCAACGTGGTTACATACACCGAGGAGATGGAGAGATGAAATCTATTAATGTATGTTGGCTGTATTGTTACATTTCACGATCGTGGGGGGTGACAGGGGCTTGGGTTAGGCAGTAAATTCCTGACAGTAGATGAAGATCAGAATCAGTTGGAGTTTCCAGAGTAAAGCCTCTTGAGCAAAGACGCTCTTTTTTCCCCCAAGGGCGACTCAGCTGGCAGACAAAGCATTCCGCAACATCTCACCACAGTGACTAGGAGATGTTTGTTTCCTTGCTTGGTATACAGGAGGTCGTGGGTTGGATCCAGACCCTGTCGCCTGCTCTATATTTGGAGTTCGCGTGTCTCTCCCCGTGGTCGCGTGGATTTTTCTCCGGGTCCTCCGGGTTTTCCCTTCACATTTATAAACATGCCTTTGGCCGCTATACATTTTCATACGATAAGCCACTTCGTCGAGCTATCATTTGTGATGGCCAGGTCGCATCTGAAATGAAAGAGCTACATAGCTCAGTGGGCCTTATCTGGTAAAATAAATAGTTTATAGTTTTAGCTGAATAGAAACACGGAATAGATATTATGTTGTAAAATTACATTCACACTGAAACTTTAAGTTATTTTAATACCAGTCGCTTTAAGTGAGGACAGAGATGGCAGAATGGAGATGCGAGGAGACCGAGGTGGTTCCAGATACTTTGGGGTGGGTACATTCAATGCTTCCACTCCAAATTGCGCGTGGAATCTGGGAACTGTTAACGGACACGCGTCGCAGATTTTTAGGATTGTCCAATGGTAATAACGGGTCAGACAAATAAAGAGCAGATCCATGGATAATAACCTTGGAAATGAAACTAGCCCTGCAGTGACAAGTCTGCACACGTCGAAGGACACTTACCCAGCGACGGCAAAGATACGTAGATTAATTATTAGGCTTATGTTCATGCTTGTTTGAAAGTGTTTTGTATTCGATTATCTTGTAAAAAAAACCTAGCATTTGATGATGTAATGATATCAGCCGAATTATTGCGTGCTTGTCTTAATAAAGTTTTGACCAACATTTGCAAAAAATGTGTTCACTGTAGTTAAGGTCGCGTTAGGGGATGTGGGCCACACGTCAGAGCGCACCCAGTTGGCTCCTCCGAGATCCTCAAATCATCGAAAGGGTTCTGCTCTCAGCCCCGACGATTGTCATGGAAGGCTCGGGGTAGCTGGTATCACCCGATCCCTCTCTTCCCGCGAATCCTAACGATGGGGACAGGTCAGCTCAATGGACAATACAAAGAACAAAGTTCGGAGACGATGATGACCAGACACACTCCGCGCTGTGTTTGGTCCTCTGGGAGAAGTGGGCCACTCAACAACAGCTGAGCGCTGGGAGGTTTGTGGAACGGCGAAAACATTATTTGAAAAGTGTTTTGCAACAATGACCAGGCAACACTCACCCGCTCCATGTCGCAACACCGCAGCTGAGTTCCTCAGCACGGAGTCTGCCCAAACCTGAGGGGCCGTCCATAAATGACATCACGCGATTTTGGACGAATTTTTACCCCCCCCTCCCTTCGTCACACAGCGTCACAAAAAGTCAGACCCCCCTCAAATATGACGTCACAAAGCTCTGCCCCCCCAATTAAAAAAAAACATGCTCCAAATCGTTTTAAACTATTGTCATTGTAGTGCGTATTTAATGTGGCGCTGCACTCTGATGTTGTAGGAGAAAACATTTATTTAAAAAATTATTTAATTAAGTAGAACGTTTTGATTTAAAGCTTTCGTGACTTCAGGGATTCATATTCTTGGTTCTTTCGGTAAATTCACGTAGAAGGGAAACAATAAAATAATAAACCGCCACTTTTTTCAAATTTTCTTGCTGTGGTTTTCACACCTGATGATGATTGCTTGTGTTGCAGTCGAAACGTCGTGATAATTTTATTGTTTTATATTTTAAATATTTTATTGTTTCCCTTC